GGGCATGGGGCAACACTTCGAGCAACGCACGAAGCGGTGCCTCGACCAGGAGGCGGCCAATTGGCCCGTCCCAGAGGCAGCTACCTTCAGCAACGGACGAGGTGCTGGCGGGCAGGATGATCCAGATGACCAAGGAGCAGCTGCGCAACCGCGACCACGACAACTACGCCATAGCGGCGCAGCCAGTCTTGGAGAGCGCGAGCGGCGCGAAGAGACCCGTCCACGACGGCGCGCGCGAGATCGCCGTGAACTACCAGATTCGATGCCGAAACCGAAGGATGATGCCGAGAACCGCGAAGAAGAATTACTTCCTGAGTTACTACGAGGACAGGCACGAGATCATCTTCTCACTCGTCACCGACGTCAAGGGCGCGCATCGGCACGTCAAGATCCGCGAGGACGAGTGAGGCATGCTGGCCTGCAGGTTTGAGGGTGAGGTGTACTGCAGCACTCTTGGCACCTTCGGCATATCCAGTGCCTCAGAAATGGTGGACCAGGATATTCGGCGCCGTGTCACGTGCGATATTTTGCTTGTTGGGAGACGACTGGCCAGTGGAACAGCTCACCTATGCCGACGACCTGGAGGCGGCCAGCGCGCGGAAACGAGGGCGACGCTTTGCGGTTATGGTCCTGGTTTGGGAGAAGCTGCCCCCGGGGCCCGCGCGCACCTGGCTCGCCAGCGTCGTGAAGACAGACAGGAACAGGACCCCCCCGCCGTGGGTGGCCTGGCTCGTGCTGACCTGGGCTGACAAGTGACTGGCGGGTGGACACAGATTGGAGTCGCCCATCAAGTTCATAACCGAGAGCTCCGGGCACTTTCGCTCAGATGCGAATGCGGAGATAGGACGCTGCGGGATACGCGGCTGGGAGGCACCGACGAACGGCAGCATGCGAGGGGCTCGCTGACACGCACTGGAGATAGAAAAGGAATGGCCCCCATGGGTGCGGGCCATGGCAAACGACCCGAACAGGACCATCGGGGCGCTCGGGCTCCGCGTCGCGATCCCTCGCGCGAAGCTGTTCGCGAAGCCTGGAAAGCGCCGCCTGAGGTCGGCCTTCGAGATGACGGGGTCGACGGGAAACCTGGGGAACGCATACGCGGCGAAGAGGGCCACGTCGACCAAGTGGTTGCTGACGGCCCTCCTCATCGAGCTTCCAGTGGAGCTGAGGTCACGCAAGATGGCTCTCGGCCTAGACTTGTTGCCGCGCGAGGAGAAGCAGGAGGCCGGCGATCTCACGAACATGAAAACGTCGGACTTCGACGAGTCCCTCTGGATCCACGTGAACGCGAACCTCAAGTGGCACGTGCTCGACGAAATGGCGCAGGCCTCCCAGGAGCTTCACGGGTCGATCGTCGAGGAGAGGACGACCGCCGCGGGCGGGAAACCCGCGGCAGGGCGCGGCCAGGGCGCGCCTGGCGCCGCGGTGCCAGCACGTCGTGGGCGACGTCGCGCGGGCGGAGCTGGAGGTGGCGACAGCAGCGCGCTGAGTTCCAGGCGACCTTTCGCGACGGGGGCCCAGCGCGAGGTCCTCTGGCGCGCCTGCGAGATAGTCTCGGCCCCCGTCCTCCGGAGGGCGCCACCACGGGGCGGGCCCCTCCCTCCCGCCTCCAGACCCCCCTCTCTCCGCCGCGGCGGCGGAGAATCCGGGGCGGACAGGGCGCCACCTGCCCAGGAGGGGCCATAGAGGGCGGGCAAGGCTTCGAGACCGCGCCCACGCTCCCCGTGTGCACGGCGCGGTGCGGATAGGGGAGGGTGGCGACGCTTGGCCGACGGGGCGAGAGAGGAGCGAGGTGCGGCCGGGGGGCCTCGACGCTGCCAGCGTCCAACGGGGGGCCCCGAGGGTCGCGCCCCACGCCTCTGGGCCTCTGCCCCCGTCCTCTTTGGCGATCCCAGCCCCATCGCTGGGGGAGGGCATTAAGTTCCTGGGAGTGGCTCGGGTCCCGGCGTGCGAGGCCCCCGTTTCCGCCACCCGCAGATAAGGCATCGACGTCACCTTTCTTCTTTAATACCGCCACCGCGCCGCTTGCAGGGCCATTCGAGGAGGCGCCCCCGCGTGCCAACACGAATGTGCATCCTCTCACTGTGCCCGTTGCCTGTGGCCATTTGGGTTCAGGCGGTCGGCCGGTTTTGAATAACTCGCCCACCACCTTGGGGCATCGAGTTTCCGGGAGTGGCCCGGGCTCCTGCGCTACAGGGCTTCCGCCCCCGCCAAGCATCAAACGTCACTTCCATGTTTACCGTCATCGCACCGCTTGTAGGACCATTCGATGATTCACACAAAGTACACAACACATATTTCTACATACACAGACAAAATGTTAATACGAACATGCAGGGAGTGTGGGCCAGGTAGAACGCTTAGAAGGCGCGATCGAGAAGTGTATTGGCGAGCCGCCGGATAACGGCTTCAGCGAGTTGGTGCAGGTATTTGTGGGCTGCCAGGGATTCGGGAGGGAGGGAGACACAGGAGGGATGCGCCCGTCCCACGGGGGCCAGGGCGCACCGAGCGATCGCGAAGAGCTTCCCTTGTCACCGAGCACTGCTGTCCACTGTTCGGTCGGTCCGATTGCGTGCCGACGCCTGCGCACGACACCGATCGATTTGATTGAGCACCCTCTCCCCTCCCTCCTCGGTTATCCCTCCTCCTCCTCATCTTCCTCCTCCTCCTGATCCCTACTCCTCCCTCCTCTTGTTTTCCCTCCTCCTCATCTTCATCATCATCCTCATCTTCCTCCTCCTCTTCTTCCTCATGTTCCTCCTCCTACTCCTCCTCCTCCTTCTCCTCCTCCTCCTCCTCGTCCTCCTCCTCCCTCCTCCTCCTCCTCCTCCTCCTCCTCCTCCACCTCCTACTCCTATTCCTCCTCCTCCTCCTCCTCCTCCTCTCCTCCTCTCCTCCTCCTCTTCCTCCTCCTGCTCCTCCTCTTCTTCTTCTCCCTCCCATTTCGTCCCCCTCATCCCCCTTCGCCCTCCTCCCTCCTCCTCCTCCTCCTCCCTCCACCTCCCTCAGCCATCACTCCTCGTCATCTTCACCGTTCCTCCCAGGAGTGACGTTCGATTAAGCTGATCCGATTTCACAAGCGGTTCGACCGATCTGCGATCAAGCCAGGCAGTTAGGCAGCCCAGCTGGCGTTTCCGTTCTGCGTGTCGCATTGCGGTATGAAGTTGTTCATGGTTATTTTTATTTGCATACCTTTGCCTCGCAGAACGAAGTGAGCTTGCGGCTGGCGGAACCAATGCAGTATTGAGCGGCAAACGCAATCGCGGAAAAGATCAAACAAGGCAGTTCTGGTTGTAGCAATAGGAAGATAATTGGGGCACGTCAGCGCCCAGTAAACATGTTTAACATGTTTACGCGTTTGGGTAGGTGTCCCTTAAACATATGGCGTTACAATCCGAGCGTAAGCAAGGTGGCCCAAGTGATTTGCTACGCGTCACAGTCTGCGTTCCACGCTGCTCGCATTCAGGACAGAAGTTGATGCGTTTGTAAGTTTATTTCGCCCGAAGAATGCTGACGCAACCTGGCACTCGTGGGCCAAGGGTTCGTCTAGTATTGATCTTGTACAGAGGGCAAAGATGCGGGTGTCCCTAAACCCTCCAGCGGACGCCGTTTCGCGGCACGATTGAGCAAAGCTTGAATCGGGAAGACTGTTACAAAAGCCGCGAATGGGGCTGGGTGTCGCTCAGGTACGGTGCGTGTCTCCGGTTAATTAGGGCCTGCTTGGAATGTGCATTTGCGTTCCATTTGCGGGATGGATCGCGAGGGCGCAAGGATTGTCGTTCTTATTGTGCACATTGCCCAACCGTATGGTGTGCTGAAGCGCTTGTCGTATGTGTATAGGTGCAGAGTCGGGTATGGTAGCGCAGCTTGGTGCAATGTAGCGTAATAGTGTGCAATTCAATTCAAATTGAATTTCATTGAAACGCGATGCATGCACAGTGGCGCGGCGTCAAGTGATGTAGTATAGAAGTGTGATACAAGTTCCGCAATCAAGGTCCAGGCCCAGCGGACGACTCATCTCCCAGGGTGGACGGTCCCACAGATGGTACACAGGTGAAGGCTCCATGAGTACCGAGGCTGTCATTCTTGAAAGCGTTGCCGTGGCAGACGCAAGAGCAGGGAGCAGGTGCACCATCGAGGTGCGGTTGCAATGCGGCAAGCGACCCTAGTATTTTCCAGAGGCCGAGCCTTCACTGTCTTCGCGCGAAGCCACTGCTGCCACGCGCGCTACAAGTAGTCGATCCGTGGTTCGCCCGTTGATTGCTCGCACATCGCCGCTCACCAATATTCAAAAGTTCGTCATTGTTGTCATGGTTTCTTTTTCGCAGCGCATTCTACATATATACCCATACCAGACGCTAGTAGCCGAATGGGTTTAGTGTGAAGGCGCGCCGATCCACTCTTCATTCCACGCGCACGCGACTATTTCATTGTCAACATAGATCGCCATACATTATGCTATCTTCGGTAGCAAGCTGCCTATTGCGTGCAGTGTTCAGCCGAGCGCATTTGCAAATATACTGCATCTCTTCCACCACGGCATACTAACACATTGGCTAGCTTGAAAGAGTACAGTCGCGATCATGACAGGCACTGCGCAACATGGAAGTGCTCAGAGGTCGATGGGCAGGTCTCCTGTCAGGTATCATCCAACAGTTCGACACGCGCATCACCAAACATAATTACAGAGAACGCATGCGCGAGGGCGGGTCGGAACAGATATGCCGGATCCGGGACGTCTCTCCCAGTTGTGGGGGGAATATTGCTCATCGGGTCGTCTCTCGTGTGGCCACGGCAGGCTGTGGATCCGCCCTCGCCTTCGCAGCTGAGCTTGCACAGATCCAGCCACGGGTATGAGAATGTACAGTCGGGGCCCTGAAGAAGGAACCCTTTTCGTTGGGGAGGGGCTCCGTGTGCCTTGATTGTTTCACAGCTTGCCTTAGGTTTTCCCTGGTTTTCGGTAGGAAATCGAAGTTTAACTTATGGAGAAAAGGGGCCTCGTTCCTTATTTAGGGTTCCTTAGGTCAACGCCCCGACTGTAGGTTAGAGGGGGGCGGAAGAATGCATACTCAGTGAACAGATTAGGTGTTTACGCTGTCCTCTCCCCCGTTGGCATGATGCGGTTTACTATGGGTTTATGTGTATCGGTCCATGTTCCGACTTGAGCTCTCGCGTTGAGCATAGTGCCGAGTAGATCGACAATCTGGTGATGGCGCCTCCCCGTCGAAAAATCGAAGTGCTTCACCAGGAGCGTGCCCGGGTCATCTCCCATTGGGTCGAAGTCTGTTGATCGTGCATGGTATTCTGAATTGCTTGTGTGTAGTGCGAAAAAAAGGTTTACCTCAATAGAATTTGCGCATCAGGGAGGTTGCAAAACAAGATGCAGATTGGAAGACGGGAGGTAGTACTAGCTCGGGCACACCAGAAACACCATGTGGAGTTGGACGAGACTGACCCTTGCATCACACCGTTCTTGAAGGTGGGAATGGCGATCACATCAGGGCTGCAGGGGTGGTGTTTGACGAAGGGGTGAGCGTGATGACGAGGGCACAGCGATGCGAGAAGCGATGGGCGACGACACGTGCTCTCGCAAATCGGTCGGTCACCGCCCCTTGCACGGAGGGCAGCGCGAGGGAGAGGAGGATACGGAGAATAAGGCGGAGGAGGAAGTGGCGAAGGAGGAGAAGGAGAAGGAGGAGAAGGAGGAGAAGGAGGAGGAGAAGGAGGAGGGGAGGGGGAGGGGGGGGGGGAGGGGGAGGGGGAGGGGAGGGAGGAGGAGGAGGAGGAGGGCGGAGGAGGAGGGAGGGCAGGAGGGGGCCCGGAGGGTGCAGCACGACCCCACCCACCCCGAGGCCCTCCACACATACACACAGACACACAGACACACAGACACACACACACACAAACAAACAAACAAACAAACAAACAAACAAACAAACAAACAAACTGTTTGCGTCGGCGGCTGGGCAGAGGGTGACTGCCCCGGCGGATGGGCAACAGGGGACACGCTGTATGCAAATTAAGGCCGCAATGCACGGAGGAGGAGCCCTGGCCCACACAAACAAACACACACACACTCACACACACTCACACACACACTCACACACTGTCGGAGGAGGGAGGAGTAGGAGGAGGAGGAGGAGGAGGAGGAGGAGGAGGAGGAGGAGGAGGAGAAGAAGCGAGAGGAGGAGAAGAGAGAGGAGGAGGAGGAGGAGGAGGAGGAGGAGGAGGAGGAGGAGGAGGACGACGAGGACGACGAGGAGGAGGAGGAGGAGGAGGAGGAGGAGGAGGAGGAGGGGGAGGGGAAGGGGCAGGAAGAGGAGGAGGAGGAGGAGGAGGAGGAGGAATAGGAGGAGGAAATGAGAGTAAAAAGAGAGAGGAGGAAGAGAGAGGGGGGAGGGAAATAAAAGAAGCGAGAGGAGGAGCTGGACAAGGAGGAGAACGGGGGAGGAGGAGGAGAAAGAGAAGGAGTAAGAATAAGAACAATGAAAAAAGCATGAACCCAGCGCGACTCCAATTAGTGGAAAGTGTCCTATTGCATGGGCGCAGTGCTTGGCGTTGCTTGGCATTACTTGGCATTGCTTCTCATTGCTTCGCATTGCTTCACACTGCTTGGCATTGCTTGGCATTGCTTCGCCGCATTGCTTGTCATTGCTTCGCATTGCTTCGAATTACTTCGAGGAACCTGGGGAACCCGAGGAACCCGAGGGATCCCGGGAAACCGAGGAACCCGAGGAACCTGAGGAGCCCGGGGAGCCCGGGGAACCCGAGGAACCCGGGGAACCCGAGGAACCTTGGGAACCCAGAGGACCCGAGGAACCCGAGGAACCCGGGGAACCCGTGGAACCCGAGGAACCCGAGGAAACCGATGAGTCCGTGGAACCCGAGGAATCCCCGAGGAACGGGCAAAGTAGCGCCCCGAGACACCAACCTTCAACCAAGTAAGAACCCTTTGAGCAAGCCGAAGTTGGGAAGAAGAAAAAGGAGTAGGAGAAGAGTAATCTTACATAGAAGTAGCAATAGTAGTAATTAAGATAGCAAGCATGGCGATAATAAGAAGAAGAGTAAGGAGGAGCATCCGAACAAGAGGAAGAATAAGAAGAAGAAGAAGAAGAAGAGGAACCATACGAAAAAGACGAATCGCAAAAAGAAGAAGAAGACGAATCATAGTTTGAACAGCAATGCGAATAAACGTATTTGTAATGATGGCATTAGCGCTTGTCAAGTTACTGAGGATGAATGATAACAAGATGGATGGTGATGAGAAAATCAATGAAAACAATACTGCGAAGGAAAGTAAAACGGTTACGAATAATAATACTGGTAGTACGAGTAAGAATAGTGATGGTAATGGGGTTGGTACTACTAAGTAATAAATCAATGAATGCAAACAACAGGTAATAATGATACAACACAAAATACGAAATAGATGAACAGTACTACGAATAATAATAGCACTAGGAAAGATATGAGCAATGCTGCGAAAGATATGAACAATACTAATAGGACGAAGAAGAAGAGGAGGAGGGGGAGGAGGACGTGGAGGAGGGGGAGGGGGAGGGAGCAGCAGGAGGAGGAGGAGCAGCAGGAGGAGGAGGAGGATATTGGGGGAAGGGAGCAGGAGGACAGGGAGGACGACGAGGAGGAGGCGCAGGAGGGAGGAGGGGCGAGGAAGGCAGAGGGGCGCGAGCAGCAGCGACGAGCTGCCGCGGCTGCGGAGCATGGCCAGGGGTCCCCGGGGCGCTCTGCGGGTCCGTGCAGGCCCCCAGACGTTCTGCCTGGGCGTTCCCCCTCCTCCTCCTCCTCCTCCTCCTCCTCCTCCTCCTCCTCCTCCTCCTCCTCCTCCTCCTCCTCCCTCCTCCTCCTCCTCCTCCTCCTCCTCCTCCCCCCGAGCCCCCTCCTGTGCAACCTCCGCCCCTCGGCGGGGCTTCCGCGGGGAGCGGGCGCCAGGCGAATTGGCGGGCCCCCCGGCCGCCCTCCCCCCGCTGGTTGGGCATCGCTCGGAGGTGCGCATTCTTCCTAGGCGAGGACCATCGAGGAGCAGTTTGGACCATCTTGCATATATATAACACAAATAATGGACGCCCGAACGATGGCAAGCTCGTCAGTTCTCCCCTGGAGTTTTGTATCCGACAGCCTGGCCACAAGATCATGTGGTGTTGTGCGTTGTGCGCTGCCCCATTCTGGGCATGTCGTTCCTTGCCAGTCCCTCCCCCTTCCCCCGCGCCTGTCCTCCAGCCTCTCTCCTCCCCCCCCCCCCTTCCCTCCGCTCCCTCCTCGGACCTCCTGGTGCCTCCTGGGGCCTCCCAGGGAGGGTTTCCTGGTGATGGGGGGGAAGAAGAGGGTCGGGTCGGACGAGGCAGGGGGATAGCCAAAGGGGGGGCGGTTTCCTCCTCCTCCTCTTCCCCCTCCTCCTCCTCCTCCTCCTCCTCCTCCTCCTCCTCCTCCTCCTCCTGCTCCTCCTCCTCCTCCTCCTCACCCTCATCCTCATCCTCATCCTCATCCTCATCCTCATCCTCATTATCATTTTCCTCTTCCTCTTCCTCCTTCTCCTCTCTCTGCTTCCTCCTCCTCCTCCGCCTCCTCCTCGTCCTCCTCCTCCTCCTGCTTGTCCTCCTCCTCCTCCTCCGCCTCCTCCTCCTCTTCCTGCTACTCGAACGGTAGCCTACTAATCGTTCCTGCCTTTCTGCCCTCTCCAATCGTCTCGCCTCGCCGATGTTGTTCTGCCTTGGTGTACGGAAGGCGGTCGCCGACGCGAAGTCCGGCAACTCCCGGAGCGCGCCGAAACCAGGCTTGCCTATCTTGCTGCAACTGTTTATGAGGCCTCGTTGGTTGCGGCACGGCTTGCGTGCTGCAACCGACGAGGCACAGGCAGATTCAATTGAGCACCAGACTCGAACGGTAACCTACTAGTTGCTCCCACCTTACACTGTCCAATCGTCTCCCCCCCGCCGCTGCCGTTTTGCTCTAGAATGCGGGAAGCGGCCGCCTTCCGTGCCCGTGTTAGTCGCGTGTTATACATACCCCGCGTTCGTATTTGCTCCCGCTGAAAAGGTACCCTTTATCGTACCTTTCGTTTTCATAGTCTTCTCCTCCGAAGCAGCTCACGCAGCTGTTTCCCATGGCGCCAGAGACGGCCACAGGTCGAGAAGAGAGCCCAGCTGCGGGGCCGAAGCCAGCTGCACGCAGCAGAGTTCGTAACACCGCCTTTTCCCAATCCCTTCCCGTTCGTCCGACCCGAGGGGCGGGAGGGGGGCGAGGAGGAGGCACGAGGGCGTCTCCTCCACGCGCGCCAGAGGCCGCCAAACCTTCCCAGCCGCAGGCCCCCACGCCCGAACCGCGGATCACCAGCCACGCATCGGCTGAGCAGCCTGAGCCCTCGCGCAGAGCTCCCTCACAAACTCGGGCGCGGCGGCCACCACCTCTGGGGAAGCCAAGCGGCACCAGTACCGCTGCGTCCCGGAGCTCTCCCTGGGCGCGTTCTGGCCAGGACTCCGAGGCGAGTCCAGCCGTGGCAACAAGGGCCTTCCAGGGAGGCCCAACCAGGCGGATGAAACGAGGCCGTCTCGCACGAACGGTTCTCCTTGTCCCGCGAGGTCCTGCGCTCGACCTCGCCTGCGCAAGTTCGGGCGCCGCGCGGCAGCTTCTGCAGGGGCAGGGCGCTCGGCGAGGCTGCGCCCCGAGCCCAAGGCGCAGCGCAGCGGCGCCGCCGCCGATCTGCAGGCGAGGCGGCGCCTGCGGCTCAGAGGACATCGACGACACATAGCACGGACCCCTCGCCGGAGGGACCTCTTGGTGCGGGCCCGCAGGGGATCTCCCGATCGCCGAGCGCGAGGCGACGGCTACGTCTTGCGTGCTTGGGCCCGGCCCCTCCGCGGCTGCCGAAGATCGCGCACCAAGGGTCACTTTGACCCAGGGTCACGCCTGCCTGTCGCCGAATACAGCCTGTGTCGGAGGTGGACAGACCTCCTACCCTGACACCTCGATTGAGAAATTGGCCGTTTTCGGTTCGCGAGAGGGCGTCGCGGCCCTCATTTTTGCGGGTCCGGGTCCGTCGGTTTCGCTCCCAGGCCGTTTTCACTAAGGGGAGGTTTACGAAAGGGAGGCTTGTCCACCGCCGATTGTGAAGCAGCTTGTATGAAAGGTTGGATTGCAGCAAGCTTAGGCGTTGGCAGGGCCTTCCTCAAGGGCCTCACTTACACGGAGCTGGCCGACCCTACCGGGGAGCAAGAACGGGTTGCATGCTTGACGAAACCCCCGGGAAGTCCCTCCGTGCTGAAAACCATTGGCCGCGAGCCGCGTGTCAGTGGGCGGGCCCGCCGAGCTGCCATGCTTGAGGCACACGTCTCCCACATTATTCCTTCGGCGTCTCGTCCCTCGTCCTTCTGGGCGAAAGCAGCAGTCACCCCATGCCATTCCGACGCCTCCGTTTGCTAAACTATTCGACGCGGAGATCCCCACGCGATGATAAGCATGTTTGTTGCGCGCTTTCGCTTGCGAGCGTCAGAGTGTGCATCAGCCCGCGTGCGAGCGGGATTGAGTACTAGTGAGGCTGAGTATGGGCGAGCCTAGGCGAGCATGAGTCTGAGCATGAGCGGGTATGAGTGTGAGTGGACATGAGTATGTGTGACCGGGAATGAGTGAGCCTGCGTAGGGAGCAACCCAATATCACCGGGTTCTGGACACAGACGCGCGTGTCCCGAATTTCCGTCGTTCTATTTAAGAGGCTTCACCAATTGGGCGCTAACGGGCCCGTGTCATACCCCGTGGCGGCCCCACGGGAGGCCCAAATGCGATGTCTGCTACGTCGCGGGATCACAGAGCTCTGACAACAGGCACGCGTGCCCCCCAAAACGAGTGGCTTGGCTACCCGAGAGGTCGCACCAATCTAGGCGCAAACAGGCCAGTGGCATTACCCCCTGGCCCCCCCCCCCCTTCCAACTAGGATACGCAAATGATATGCCTGCCGCGTTGCGATTGTCACGGCGCTGAAAACAGACGCGCGCGCGCCCCCCCCCCCCCACTCCCCCACACAAAATAACATAGCACGTTGGTAATCTATGCAAGAGTTCCCACTGATCTGGGCGCGAACAGGCGCGTGACATACGTGTTTCTTTGGGGGAGGGACAAGTGCGCTGCGTGCTACGTCCTGGCGGTCACGAGGCTCTGAAACCAGGCATGCGCATCCCATATTAATGCGTTCTATCCTGGAGGTCCCACCAATCTTCACGCGCGTCCCCCACAACGAGCGCTATGTTTGAGAGATCCTGTCAATCTTGTTGCGAACGGGCCCGTGGCATTACCCCCTGGCGGCCCATCGGGAGGCCCAAACGTGATGCTTGCTACGTCGCGGTGACAGACACACTTGTCCCCAAAAATTGGCACTCTATTAAAGAGGTCCCATGATCTGGGGGAGAACGGGCCCGGGGCATTTGCCTTGGCGGCCACCATTCCTTGGGATGCTAACGTTAGATGATTGCTTCGTCGCTGGGATCACGAGGCTCTGAAGAACGATACGCGGTTCCCAAAAAAGGGGCGTTCTTTTCGCGAGCGGGCCCGTGAGGGAAGTCTGAGTGCGACACATCTGAGTGTGATTATATCTGAGCGTGCGTGGGTCCGAGTATGAGTCAGTCGGCGTGCGAGTGAGCCTGGATATGAGCGAATATCAATACGAATATGAGTGGGTCAACGTGCGAGCGAGTCTGAGTACGAGTACGAGTGAGTGTGAGTGTGAGGGAGTCTGAGCATGAGTGAGTCCAGGCTCTAATTGAGATTGACCCTGAGTAAGAATGAGTCTGGGTATCATTGAATCCGCGCGTAGGTGAATGGGTGGTTACGACCGTGAGTGGTTCTGAGTTTGAGTCTGAGTAGGAATGAGTCTGAGTATGAAATAGTATAGGCATTAATGAGGGCAGGAAGCGGGAGGTGAGGATGGGCGGAGGCGGCGCCGGCATCACATTGACAATAAGAACCCCACATTCAGAGGGAGATCCAGACAGCGGGACGGGTCTTCGCAATTGATTCGCCCCTGATCGCCACCGACTCTAACATTAGGTTTCAGATGTTTGGCTGGCACCTCTCAAACATTGAAGACATGGGTAGGCGTTGCTCGGAAACTCTCACGGTTGACTGCAGCACCAAGCGAAGGCACCAATCACGTTTTTGCCAAGAAGTGTGGCAGGGTTTCTCTTGCTGAGGCGGTATGCATGGCCTGTGCCACGTCGTCCAAAACGCCCACGGCTTCAAACGGTGGGGGGGTTCGTTAAGGAATGTGTCCAGGAGGCTTCAGACCCTGGGGGGGTCCTTATCCGACAAGGGCGGTGGTGACATCCACGGCCAAGCCTCAATTGGAGTTGCACCGGCTTTCGGACCCTGGCTTCCCTATCCAATGGCTCCGTATCCAATGCCATCAACGTGCTCGACGTTCAAGCGAGTGAAGTTGTACCAGGGGGATGCGCTCAAGACCACGGGATCGGGTTCGCCGGAACATGTGCGAGCCAGCGCGCCCAGTCGTGTCCAATGGCGGTGTGGCGTCTTCTGCACAGTCATCGTCGCCTGGCCGCGCCCCGTTGCGCATCGTGTCCAATCTCCGTGGCGGCGTGTGTTCGTGTTCGATCCGACTCACCATTCCCGTGTCTCCACCTCCCCTCCATGTGTTGCTGGATTCTTTGCTTGACTGTTTGAGTGCAAGACTGCTGTCTCTGGCATGCTTCGGCGTGCCAGGGCTCAGTGGTTGAGTACAAACCTGGTTGATCCTGCCAGTAACCATACGCTTGTCTCAAAGATTAAGCCGTGCATGTATCAGTATAAGCTTCTATATTGCGAAACTGCTCAATTTGTGTTCCTTGTCGCTTTGTAGGATTCCTCCATATGCGAGGTGGTGTTAGCGGCCCCTCGGATTTGCCAGGCATCCTCAGCACAAGGGCATCGTATGGTGCCAACGCGGCTTGCCGTTTTCACCAACCGTATCGTCGTGGTCGCTCTACTCCATCACCATCGTCATCACCACAAGTATGTTCACCATCATTCCTCAATTGAATCTGCTTCATCTTCCTTACTGCTCCCTCCTCCGAATGGGATGACGCCCAAATTTGTGCGACTAAAAGCGGGCAGGCCCACATGGAGACTCTCAAGAGCAGTTTGGCAGCGGTGAAGCTCGGGGAGGATCCGTCGGAATGGCTGGTGGGGAGGGGAGGGGAACGAAAAGGGGTGGGGAGGGAGGGATACGGAAGAGGAGGGCTGTGCGAGGAGAAAGGGGAGGATAGAAGGAAGGAAGGAGGGAAGGAGGGAGGGATGGGTGGAGGGCGAAGGGAGATGGGAGTTTATGGCGTTGGGGGAGGGGGAGGGGAGGGAGAGATGAGAAGAGAAGGGGGGCAAGAAGGGTGAGAAGGGCGATAGGGGCACTCAGGAAAAATGAGAGAGAAGGAAGAGAAGGCGGGAGAATATTTGCGCTGAATGCAGCAGACACGCAGTGTGCAAATGGAGCCTCTCGATGCCGACGGCAACGAGCATCGCCTTCCCTCCTCCCCTCCCTCCTCCCCCTCCCTCTCCCTCCGTCAAATGTTTGCCCCCTCTTCTCCCTCCTCCCCCTCCCCCTCTTTCTTCCCTCCTCCCCCATATGTCGCCTCCCCTGCAAAAAAAACACACCCACACCACAACAACAACAACAACAACAACAACAACAACAACAACAACCATTCTAAGACTGCTCGCTCTTACTTGCCCGCGTGTCATTCAAAACGAGTTCCCCACACCCTCGATACCCGCCCTTGTTGTCTTCGATCACACCCCCTTTAGGGGGGATTCTTTCTCTTTGTGGGGGGCGGCGAGCTTAGACAGCGGGCAAACCTGAACGGGCGGACAATCCTTCGTGGGCGTATATGTGCCCGCCATTGGAATTGGTGTGGGCCCTGCAAATAGAGGAGGGGGAGAAGGAGGGAGAGTGGGAGGAAGGGAGGGGGAGGGACGAAGGAAGAGGGAAAACGCCAGGCGAGAAGGAGCGAAGAGGGGGGCGGTTGAATAGAGGCAGAGAGAGAGAGAGAAAGGCAGATAAGAGAGGTAGAAAGAGAGAGAGAGAGAGAGAGAGAGAGAGAAAAAAAAAAAAAAAAAAAAAAAAAAAAAAGAGAGAGAGAGAGAGGGGGGGAGAGAGAGAGAGGGAGCAAGAAAGAGGGAGGGAGGAGGCAGGAGAGGGGAGGGAGAAGGGAGGAGGGAGAAAAGGGAGAGGGGATAGGGCAGAGAGGCATAAGGATGAGGGAAGAGAGGAGGGACAGAGAAGGAAGGAGAGGAGGGAGGAGGGAGGGAGGGAGAGGGAGGAAGGAGAGGGAGGAGGAGCAGGAATGTAAGAGCGTGAACGTTCGAGGAAGTCCTGGGCGAAAGCGCCGTTCCTGGAGGAAGTCTCGGGCGGGAGCCCACGACGGGCGGGCGATGCCTGACGGGCGGGCCGGGCGGGTGGGACATTCAAGCGGGATGCCTGAGTATAACGAGAGCGCGATTATGAAGTAAATTGTAACGGCGTCCTTGGCGCAGCGTGTTTCCTGAGCGTCGAAAGCGCGATTTCTGAATCAAGCGCATGGAAGTCACAGGCGAGAGCGCAACTCCTGAATAAAATGTGATGGGTTTTCTGGCGGGAGCGGGGGTCTGGATTAAATTGCGAGGACATCTTGATTCAATTGCGAGGAAGTCTCAAGCGGGAGCGCCGTTCCTGAGCAGATTCTGAGGAAGTCTCAGATGGGAGCGGGGGTCCTGATTACATTGCGAGGAAGTCACAGGCGGGAGCACCGATCCTGAGTAAATTGTGAAGAAGTCTCAGGAGCGGGGGTCCTGAGTAAATTTGGAGGAAGTCTCAGGCGGGAGCCGTTGTTGTTGTAATCTGGGGGGCCAGGGGCCCAGTTTGAGCATCAAGATTTTCCCTGTCAAAAAACAGGGTGCGAGCGTCGAGGGGCACACTTTGATTGAGAAAAGCAGTATGCACCAGTGGAGGGGATCAACAATGATCATTCTTCAGCAATGAGAGAACAACAACAACAACAACAACAACAACAACAAGAACAAGAACAACAACAACAACAACAACAACAACAATCATTTTACCCGAACGCTCAGTGTTCTCACCAGTGCCAGGGTTTTCATGCGACGCGAGACAATACCCCCACTTCGTGGGGGGGCAGTTCAAGCTCTACCAAATATCCAAACGACTCTTCGCGACCACCCAAACCCAGCTTCCCGCCCTATGACGTTGGGACACTTCACTTCGTGGCGTGCGGACGACCGTGGCTACTACACTGGCGTGGGGTACACACCCACAGAACTTGGTCACTTATTCGGGGCGCGCGTGTGCCCAGCATCCTGCAATTGTGACATACAATACATGACACAGACAGACAGAGAGAGAGACAGAGAGCAGACAGAGAGAGAGACAGAGAGAGCGGAGTTGGTCACATTTTTGGGGCAAGTTCCTGAGATCGTCGTGTTTTTTGTTGGTCTTGCGCGCGCGAATGTCCACTTTACTTTTTTTTGCAAGGGAGTATTGAAATTTGATTATGTTAGAACAAGAAAAAGTAGCTCGCGCGAGCTCATGTAACATAAATGTTGAAAAACCATTGGTTTTGTGGGAGTCGGACAGCGCGCGCGGGATGAAATTTGGACATTTTTTTTTGAAAAACCATTGGGTTTTTGATGTTTTTATGTTGAAATCGTACGAAACCTAAGGTTCTGGAAGGATTTCGTCTTGCGCGCGCGAATGTCCACTTTACCTTATTTTTTGCAAGGGATTATTGAAATTTGATTATGTTAGAACAAGAAAAAGTAGCTCGCGCGAGCTCATGTAACATAAATGTTGAAAAACCATTGGTTTTGTGGGATTCGGACAGCGCGCGCGGAAGGACATTTTGACAATTTTTTCTTAAAAAACCATTGGGTTTTTGATGTTTTTATGTTAAAATCGTTACGAAACCTAAGGTTTTGGAAGGATTTCGTCTTGCGCGCACGAATGTCCACTTTACCTTATTTTTTGCAAGGGATTCTTGCAATTTGATCAAGTAAAAACAAGAATTTTCATTTTCTATTGTTTTTTGCAAGGGAAAACGAGCGTCAACAAAAAACCGGATCCGGAGCTCATCCACTTTTCTGAAGCTTTCGCGAAAAAATGATGAAAATGTAGCTGCGGCCTAGGCGCGGCGCAGAGGTCGCGCACCAGGGGTCCCAACAATAATAATTCTTTAGAAGGAATAATGTTCAACAACAACAACAACAACAACAACAACAACAACAACAACAACAATAACAACAACAACAACAACAACAACAACAACAACAACAGCAGCAGCAAAATCCGGAGGTCCAGGGTGCTGTCCTGGATCGGCCTTGGGCCTCCCTTGGCGGCGCCTTTGGCGCCATCCCCGGCGCGCTCCGCGCGCCAGAGCAGGAAGGTCCAGAGCCGATGCAGGAAGTCCGCGCGGACCTCCGACAAATTCGCGCCTGTACCGTTGCCGCTTCTTTGTTCCTCCCTCAAGGGGGGACGAGGGAGGAACGACAGGGGAGGAAGGACGAAGACGAGGGAGGACGAGGGAGGAACGAGGGACGAGGAAGGAACGACGGAGGAACGAGGGAGGAACGAGAGAGGAACGAGGAAAGGACGAGGGAGGGACGAGGGAGAGGAGAAGGCCCTCGGAGGATCGGAGAGGATCGATGCTCGAAGGCTCTTGACACCTGCGGGGCAAACCTTCGGGACCTCTTCCTCAGGGGGCCTCGCCACGCCTCTGAGTGCGGTTGGGAAGCTGCTTCGCGGATGCCGGAAACGTGCGGATGTCTTTGGGGAGAGGGTCTGCCGTGTGGCGCCGCGGGCCCGCGCACGACACGCAGTCCCCCACCTCGGGAGCAGCGTGCACCGAAGAAGACCCGGCAGGGGAGCGACGTGCGCAGAAAGGGGCCCGCGCGGGGGGGGAACGCTTCACGGGGACAGCGCGCTTTTCACGGGGATCGGTGTTGCACGCTATCGTTCGGCCACGCGCAGAAGGGTGGGAGGGGCAGGGAGGGGGGCTTCTTAGAAGCACCCTGCTTCTTAGAAGTTGCGCCGATGGGCCGAGAGGCCCACGAGACGCCCTTGACAAGTGCCCAGACACCCCAAAAGCCCAGGCCTCCATGGCGCAGGCTGGGACTTCGGCAAGGGCTCCGCAGATGGGCTCGATGTGGGCGGGGGGTAGCACGTATGCTTGTATGTTACGAGCCTTATGCTGCGTAGCCTTCGGCCGCGCTGCAAGGCAGCTGAGATGTGCTGAGTCTGCAATGCGTGCCTCAAAGATGTACCTCTGATGATGCGGCAATCGTATGTTGCCATCAGTCGTTTAGCACGGAAAGCAGATGGGGTCCGACAGGCACGCACTTGTTGGCGCACACAGCAGCTCATACGAGAGCCCACAGATTGTGAGTATTTCCGCGTGCGCATCCGTATGAAAAGTGGTGCGGACGAGTCCAGAGAGATTCGCTTATCCAGGGATGTGGGAAGGAGCCCGACGGGCAGTATATTCGCACGGCGTTGGCGACTGTGCACAGCTTATTTCTCAGCTGGATGGGCGGGGCATGCGTACCATGGCGGTTGGGCAACCTACCGCGGGTTTTCTCCGTCCTCAGGGGCCTGTCCCCTACATCTAGCTCGACTCCATGTGGTCGGGGTCGTAAACCGCCCCCTAAAAGAGGAGAGTTCGTAAACCCCCCCCAGAGAGCAGGGGGTGACATTCAGCAGAGCGCAGATGACCCGAGAGCTTCGTTTTCCGACGGGCCGGGAGGCCCAGCACGGAGCGTTCCAGCCACACCAGTAGGGAGAAGTATCGTGCAGACATGTCGGGCAGCACCGAGGAGCATTGACAGAACAGATGAACGAGTGTGGTAACTAAGGACGTGTGCCCGCTCGAAGCAGCGGTGCAGATTGAGCAAAGCAGCGGACAGTTCATTGTGTTGCGAACCCGTGTCTGCAATGAAACACGGAGTGAGTTGATAATGACGGTGCTTGTATGCTTTGTTCAGACGTCCTCGGGCTGCGACCGACGTCGCACGAATGGCTCGACCCGCCAGCGTTTGACCATTCAGCCTATGCATGGTGGCATGGGCCGCCTAACATACCCGGGCGCAACGGATTCGCTGTATTGACGGAAGCGCCAAGTAGTCGCATGTGTTGTCGTTTGTACGATTCCCCAAGGCATCATGCATGGTAATTTGCCCGTACACCGCATATGTTATATGAGCATGCATGTTATGTGAGGGCGAGCACGCGTCGTTCACGCACACCTTCGCTTGGTCGGAATATATTTCGAGGGCTACGATGTTCTGACACGTCAATGTAATGTTCCCCCACTGCTTTAACAGCAGAGTAGGTTCGACGAGATCCGAAATTAGTTGAATCCGAAGTTAGCATGGCCATAGTTCATGATGTGCAGTGGCGAAGGTCCCGAATGGGTTGTCTGCGTCGTTCCCTCGCTGCTCAGCCCCATACCATGTCGCATTGCGTAGTTCACTCGTTCTCCAGTTCGCTCCCTTGCTCCATCGCCTCGTTCTAGAAAGGCTGAGGAAGAGAAGGACTGAAGATTGTGTTGCGCGAAGTTTCGTGTTGCGTGCGGATACAGGGGGTTGGGGTTTCGTTGCTGCTGGCCGTAAAGCCATGCCACCGATTCATCCACCTCCTCGACCAGCGTGCTGCAGGGCGCGCTGGAGCGCGCGTAGGAGCAGGGAGGAGGATGGAGGAGGAAAATGGAGGAGGGGAGGAGAGAGGAAGAAAGAGGAGGAGAGAGGAGAGTCTCCTACCACTACCGTTGTACAGAGTCAGCAGTGAGGGCCTTTTTATCGTCCTGCAGCCCAGGGGCGTAAACAAAGTCTATACGAAAAAGAAGAAGAAGAAGAAGAAGAAGAGGAAGACCGAAGACGACGACGACGACGACCACCACGACGACCGCGAGAGAGGAGGACGTGAGAGGAGAACGAGAGAGGAGGACGAGAGAAGAGGAAGAGAAGGAGGAGGAGGAGGAGGAGGAGGATAA